GCTGCCTCCTGCTCTTCCTTCCCCATTGCTTGTTTATTCTCACTTAGTACTTCTGCCTCCCTCTAATTCAGAAGCACTGACTGAGGAGGGAGGCAAGGTGGCTCCCTGGTGTTCATTTCTTTGCAACAGCTACACTTTTGCTGCCTGTGCTGGTTTGGCTTTGACAAACAGCAAAACAAACTCCTTGGTGTTTGCATGGCCCTGCCCCATGTAAGACCCCTCTCCAGCCCCATGGTATGTGGGAAGCCCTCGTCCTGGGTGATGGGAAAGTCTCTGGCCCCACACTCTCCAGCACCTCATTGCAGCCTGGGCAATGCTCACAGTAGCAGCACCTCGGGAACTGAGCTGCATCCCAAGTGGAAGTGTTTGTGTTTTCTCCTTCTTGCTTGCTTTTTTTTTTTTTTTTTATTTCCCAATGCTGCCACAGGTCTGTCTGCTTTGCCTCTGCCTGTCAATAAGTTTGGGCTGTGGGACAATAAGCATTCTGTTTTCCAGAAGAAATAGGGAGTTTTGTGACATTTGGAATTTGGGCTTTTGTTTGCTGTCTAGTTTGGTTTATTTTCAATTCAGCAAGGGATGGGGGGAAAGCAGGTTTTCATTACGATTTTTCTTGGGGGGGGGGGAAGTCTCTAAGAAACAATAAAAATAAAGTAATGTAAAATAAAGTAAAATTAAGTAAAATTAAATGAAATAAAATAAAACAAAATAAAATAAAATATAAAATAATAGCAAAGGGAAGCCATTCAAAAGTACTTCACATCATTAAGAAAGTTTGAAATTTGGAGTGGGGGCCTGGCCCAGTCCAGTCTCCCCAGTCACCTGCCTGCTCTGGTGTTGACACCTGGCCATGCATGGGTGCAGCTGACTCAGCAGAGATACTGAGATGCCCAGACACCGCTGTCCCTGGAGGCAGCAGCCAGGGATGTGCAAAGGAGGCTTGAACCCGATGGAGAAGAGGCTCACTGGTGGAGAGGATGCCTCTTCACCTCTGCCAAAATCAGTGACTTCAAGGCTCAGCCCTCAGCCTGCTGGGAGCACTCCTGGCTCTCCAGAGCTCTATAGGTGCTCAGAGAAAGCTCAGCAGAAGGGATGCCTCTCCAGGAGCTGGGGTTGGTCCTGTGTGATGCAGCTGGAGTGTGGTTTTGGGTGCTAAGGCAGCGAGGCAGGGCTGGAGGCAAAGCTGTTCCTGCAGGCTGGGGCCCCACTGCCGGCGCTCATGGCAGCGCAGCAGGGCTGAGCTGCTCTGGGGCTGGGTGTGCAAAGCTTGGCTTCTAAAAACAGGAGACTTACTCAGAAGCAGAATCCAGAACTTGCCTTTACTCCAGCTCTTTTATATATAGTCCTCATTTCTCCTGATTTTACTTCAGCAGTCGCTGCATGAATTGCAGCTCTGAAGTGTGTGTAGCGGGGTGCAGGGACAACTGAGTGCTGCTGGCCAAGCTGGAGATGCTCTTTTGCTCCTGGGTGTGGGGTTCCCTCTGCAAAGGCCACGTTGGAGAGCAGACTTCATCCTCCAGATGGTTGTTAGGGGGGGTGTCTGGGGCTTATATCACCTTAAATGAAAGTAGGGCTCTTCTTTTTCTCCAGGGATAGACCAAGAACACTTTTATTAGTGTTTCCCTTCCTGTTGCTGTTTTTCTGAATTCTTTCCCTCCTCCCCAACCCCCCAATTTTTTAAAGAAACATAGTCAAGCTGCAAAACTAAGAGGTTTGTTTTCCTGCAATGCAGAATGATGCAGAGTGTGGATTATTCCTCCAGTCTTTTCAAGGGAGGTGTCTGATGCTGAGAAGAATGTTAGCTCAAAACCTGTGCTCAGAGGGAAGGAAAGAGAGCAATGGTGGTTTGACCTTACCTCCAGGAACGCTGGTGGCAGCAATAGGCCTCCCAGTTTATCTGAAACTCAGCAGATCCCCCGATCCACCACCAAATGTCCCAAGGGCCCCAGCAGCTGGACCAATGGTGGGATGGTGCCTTGTGGCTTTGGGGTGGCTCTGAGAGGCTGGTGTAGGTCCAGGGCCTCGGGAGTTGCTTTTGACTGGAAAGAGCAACCATCACAAGTCCCGAGGAGCTGCAGCGTTCCTGCTGCCCTTTCCCAGCACACAGCATGGTGATGGGAATTGGTGCTGCTTTCACTTCAAGGATTCCCAAACTGATGAATCCAGGCCTCTGTTTGCGACAGCAATTCAGAACACACATAAATGGGGGGCTGGCTTATTTTTCTCCTGTCATTTTTATAAAGCTATGGCAACATAAACAGGGATTCGTAACAGACAGAAGAGAGCTCAATGGAGCAGTCTGAAGTATTTTCCTAGAAAAGATTCACACAGACATGAATCCTTGGCCCATGTGATTATAAGCAGAGATAAACAGAAATGTTTATCTCTCTTCAAACACTGAGGCTACCCTACTTGGATTTAGGGAATTTAAAAGCAAGGGATATCTTTCTATACTGGTCACTTAAAGAATCAACCTGATTTTCCTCTTTCCAGCAGTAACAGTGTAACTTCTGAAAAAGTAGCACATCCTATATGAAGTCTTCTAATTCAATTAATAGAAGCAGGGCACAATCAGCACACATGCAAGCAAAAGACACATACGTAAATCAGGTCATCTTCATGTTGGAGTCAAAATCAAAACAGACACTAAAAAACCCAAACCAAACATAAGCCCTCAAAAAACTCACAGGTTTGATTTCACCTCATGTGAAAGTGAGCTTGAGGCCATCAAACAAGAACTTTCAGGCATTTGGTGGCTCAATTTTTATTAATGCTCTGTCTAGACAGCAAACCAAAATGAGGTTGGCAACTGCAGTTGCTTCTAATAAATGACATTTCTTGCCCTCAGAAGTTTCCTGTCTATAGTCAATGGGGCAAGTGGCAGAAGAATGGAAACATTACTAACTAGATCACTCCCCGGCCACTTTTGAAAAAGTGACATAATGAGGGGGTTGATAAGAAAATATTACAGTTTTGATAGCTGAAAAAATTTAAAAATACGGACAGCATTTTTTGAATGGAGTCGTGTGCTTGCAAGACCTGGAAATCACACCATGGACCCCTTTAGACTCTTAGGCATGAGACTGGCACCTGCCTGTGCACTCAGGGCTGCTGTAAGGAGCCTTTGGGGTGCCCAGCTTCAGGAAGGCCCCATGACTCTCCTTCATGAGCCCATTTCTCAGATTTCGCCCTTGCCCAGGTAGTGCTGTCCTAGCTGGTGGTGAAAGGAGCATTTCCAGGAGCTGATGGTGCTCCCTGTTTGTCCTTGCTCACAGGCAGATGAGACATGAAGGGTCAGCACAGCTGCAGACGGGGCTGGCGGCTTTTCCAGCCCTGCGTTGACAGTCAAAGACTCAGTGTGGGGGGTGCAGAGATGTGGTGTTGGTGGGGGCTTGTGGCACCAATTCACAGCCTGTCAATGTCCCAAGGACCCCAGCAGCTGGACCAATGGTGGGATGGTGCCTTGTGGCTTTGGGGTGGCTCTGAGAGGCTGGTGTAGGTGCAGGGCCTCGGGAGTTGCTTTTGACTGGACAGATCAACCATCACAAGCAAAACTAAACAACCCCAAGCCCCAGCAACCTATTTTTGTGAGCAATTGCATCCAGTAGCCTCATTAAGAAGGAAATGCCAGAATTCTGGATGAGGATTGGGACTGACTGGAGTGATCCCCCACCATGTCCTCCAGGGCCGGGTACCTCTGTGGGTGCAAAAGGAGGCTAAAATGGTTGAAGAATGAAAGCATGGCCATGAAAGGTCTCTTTGACAAGCTAGGGAAGAAGAGCAGAGATAAGGGACAGTTTTGGCACAGGTCTCAGAATACAGAAAGGCCTCATGGCCCGTGATTCAGAGGTGCTGGTCACTGCTGCAGCGCTGTCTGAAGTGGCGGGTGTTGAGCTTCTCAGAAAGTCAACCTTTATTTACAAACCCACTCATCACCTACAAGCCTGCTTATTTACAAAGCCTGTTGATAAAAGTACCTCTCCTTGAACTCTCAAAGGGAATCTCTTTAATCACAGAAGTCTCACATTGCTTCTTTGATTTGGGTTGGTTTTCCTTTTATTTCTATTTTTTGTTTCACTAACAGTATTTTGCAGACAGAAGAGAATACTATGAAGGCCACATGGGCAAATTTAAGAGATGTCAGCGTTTGACTTGTTTGTGCAGAGCTTGTGTGCTGGGTATGTGGTTCCCGTAGCTTAAGGAGACAGAAAGGGAAGGGACAGCAAGCTTAAGCAACAAGATAGGAGTCCATTTCATTGGACCCTTTCTGGCTGTAGCCTGATGCTTCACCTCCCAGAGGAACTCTGAATTACCATTCTTAAGATTGGTCCTCACCTAGTATGTCCCAATATGCTCCAGGCACTTTCCTCCTCACTGCTTCCCTTTCCCACCACCATCTCTAAGACACAACTTCTCCCTCCCTCTCTCACCCCCCATCTCACCCCAAGTCTGCCCTCCCGCCCTCCCCTCCACCCCCAGCCCCTGCCTTGCCCCCAGCAGCTTTGGGTCTCAGGCTGCTGCTGCCAGCACTGCTGGTGCCTGCGGTGGTGGAAGCTTCCTTCTGGCTGAGACCCCACCAGGACCCACTCCCTGGGGCTGCAACACAAACTTCCGTGCAGGGGGGCTCAGGTGCAGACCCCAGGGGGGCTCATGGGGAGCCCTGGGTGTGGAATAAAGATAGGGAGGATTTTTTTAGTTGTCCAGCTCTAGGGAGTGCTGTGATCAGGATGATTTATTTCTTCAGAGGTTTATAACTTGGCAAAATTTGGATGGAGGTTTTTTGCAGGCAAGCAGCACATTCCTGACACCCAAGCCAAAGTCCTGCCACATTTCAAGTCCTTTTTCCAAAGCCTGGGGAGATGAGGAAAAGGTCACCAAATTTCTTGAAGCATGGAGCGGGGGAGAAAGAGTATATTTTCTTCCAGCTAAATGATCAGCAACTACTTAAAATTTCCAGGCGAAGAAAATAGACTAGGGCAGACTCCAACCTGGGATATTTTTGACCAAAATTACAAGCAACTGTAACTGAGAAGAAAGAGGCAACTGCTGGATTTCCTTTTGTCCCATTTTTGCATTTTTTCAAAGACTGAAATTGCTGTACAGTGTATTTGCTGTGGTTGGGAAGAAGCAGAACCCTGTTTTGCTTCTCCCTCCACCTCCCTTTTTTTCTGAATGAAAGTGTTTTACAAATGAAAAATGAGGTTTCCTGAAATGATGGGTTGCTTTTTATTCTGAGCTGGCTTCCATGAAATATATTTGTGAGCCTTTTGTCGTTATCTCTGAACTTGCTGGAGGGTGACAAGAGACCATACTGTCCTGGTCAGCCTGGCCAGGCAGAGACCAGCGGGGCATTTGAGGAGGTTCTGGGCAGCCCCAGGAAAAGCTTGTCCCCAGATTCAGAATCAAACCTGCTTCTCCTTAGGGCCTGATGGACATCTGGGGAGGCAGAGGCTGCAGGAGGGCTGTGTCCCTGTCACACCACGAGGCTACTGTCCCAGCCAGCACACAATCCTCATGACATCCTGGGGAAAGGCTTGGCTGCCTGGGTGTCATCATCACCCCATTTGGACACCAAAGGGTTCTGGTTCCCCAGACCAGAGCAGGGGAAGGTGTCCCTGGACTGCTCACCAGGTATGACCTGCACTTGCCCTGAGTGCTGCTGACTAGCTCACTCTTCCATATGCTTTCTGACTCATCTCCAACACTTGTCTCTGAGTCTTCACGCTCTGTCTCTTCATTGAACTCCCATTGTGTCCTAGCCCCTCTTTCCCCTGCTGCCCTAGAGTGCCACCAGGAAGGGTGGCAGGTGTCCCATTCCCTGGAATGAAAGAACACCAGTGCCTCCAGAAATGCAGCTTGACCTGCATGGCCCTCTGGGCAAGTGAGATAGTGAGGAGACCGTGGGCATGTATTGGAAAGGGTGGGCCAAGGCCACTGTGTCTGTGCCTGGGAACAGCTGACACTCACGAAGGAAGGCTCCATAGGGGAATGGAGGCACCCCAGTACACTTAGAGGTACTCAATAACTCAAGGAGCAGCAAAACTCTCTCAACTATGAATGATAAACTGTTGCATGGGTTAGGATAATAGTCTGAATGGCACAGGAGCACAGGAGCTAAAACTTGTAAAAAAACCCCAAACTTGCTCACTCTCTCTAACCTGTGGACTCATTGCCACAAAGCATTGCTGAGGCAAAAGCTCCACAGAAAAATAAAAAGCCTGGTAAATCAACCCCTTACCGCTCATCTATCTGGCTGTTGTGAAGAGCAGAGCAGAACAGCAGATGAAAAACCCTCTTGGGGCAGTCTTGTGCAGGTGGTAAGAGCTGCAGGGATGCTGCAGTGGAATCTTCCACCAGGTATGCAGGAAGGGTAGACGATGTCCCATGAAGCTGGAGCACTTATTCCTCCTCATGCTTAGGAAGGCATTGTGCTTTTTAGAGCAGTCCTAGCTTCACTTTTCATCCTGTGGGACCAACATAAAAGCAAAAGGATGTGTATTTGTATCTGTGAGCAGGGGTAGATCTACCCATGGACAGGTCTGAGGAGACTGAACCTTGCTCACCTTTAGCTCCTGCTGGTGTTGCTCCCACCACACATTCTCTTCTTTCCCAGGGCCAAAATGGCACAGTTTCAAATGGAATAAAACAGGATGTGTAAAACAGATTCTGTTTTGCCACAGAGAAAACCTTTGTTATGTTGAAGTTAAGCTGAAATAAATATTGCACTGGTGAAAAGTGTAAATTTTTTAAAGAAAGAAAATATATTGTCACTGCAAAATCCCCCTCAGGTAACACCCCCTCCAATAAATCAAAGATATATAAAACCTATTCCCCATAAAAGACCAAGCAAAACACAAACCCCAAAAGGACCAACCAGCCCCAAGACTCTGACAAAATGGCAGCAACTGAGTTTTATTGGAATATAAGGAACTGAATAGATGTAAACACAAACAAAATGCAGATATGGGAAGTGGGAAGAAAACACAAAAACACCCCAACAAGATGAAGAATAGAAGGAAATAAACATTTGGGGCATCATTCCAAAAAGCCCACACTTTGTGGTGTGAGTCACTGCAAATGATGCTCCACCAGCCCACTGTGTCTTTGTTCTTCTCCCTGCTCTCTGCAGCATGATAAAAGCACAGGAAGGATGTTTGATGGCAAATTGGCCTTTGGCCACTTTCAAAGGAGAGTAATTTAGTGAGATTCACTCATATTTGTATAAGCTGAAACAAAAAAAAAAAATAAAAAATGAACAACATGTGTAAAGCAACCAGACTGATCTTGCAAGCACACTTCATTTTGGATCTGGCTGATGGGAAAAACAGTCCATTAGAGAGAATGTGACACTATGAATACAGATAACACCTCCCAGCAAGTCTCAGACACCTATTTCTAGATGAGTGTTTACCACCATGTGGCTAGTTGTGGCTGACCATGTTGTGTACAAGTCTGATTATTACAGCCCTAGTGTATCAATTTTACTTTTCTTAAATATCGGCGTGTATGGGGGAGGGGCGGTGTGTGTCTGACTCGCCCTTCATTTCTGTAGCACAATGGAGTAGTCAGCTTAGACCAGAATCTGTGAGCTGTTTTTCCCAAAGAGGTCATCCTGACAAAAAGGCTCCCCAGAAAGGTGGAACCATTTTTATCAGTGAGTGTTAATCACTCACTATCATTGGTAAAAGCTCGCTAGTCAGACTGAAGGTCATAAGAAACAGAGGAAACCCACAACCTTTCTGCAGTTATTTGAGTGACGTGCTGCTCCCCGAAAGGCTGAGAACGCTTTTGAAGACTGAGTAGTTTCTCATTCATGAGAACTAAGTTGGTTTTACTGTTTGTTTGTTTGTTTCCTTGTTTTTGGGGGCTTTTATTTTTTCTTTCTTTTGTTTTTTTGCTTTTAAACTTGTCTTACAGATAAAACCTGACACAATTCACCACAGGCAGGAAACCCTGGAGGGTGCGGTCTGCTGGGTAGAGCAGAGGCCCAGGGCTTTCAGGGCTTCCATCCCTGACTTGCTGGCTGCTGGGGGTGAGTCACATCCTTGCTCCACAGCTCCTGGGGATGTGGTGGCCCACCAGGTGGGACAGGTCTGCTGTTGAACACAGCCAGTGCCAGGCACATGGTTTGGGGGCTGTCAAAGCCAATGGGTGGTGTCTGTTGGCTTTCACAAGTTCTGGTGTTCATCCCTGCAAATTGCACTCGGAGTCAGAGATCAAAGGTGCCAGAAAGCACCACAAGAAGCCACGATGGATTTGCAAATTGAGTTTTCAGTATGTTCATAGATTGTGTGTGAGGGTGGCAGAGGAGTGAGAGCACCTCTGCCTTCACTGTAGCATCAAGAATGACTTGTCATGTATGAGCCACCCAGATGTTCCACTACTCTGCTCCAGGAGGACTTTAGGTTCATGTCTCTGCTCTTGCATCAATGCATGAGGCCACAGGCTGATCTCATGTCAGGAGGGGAACCTTGGGCTCTTTGTCCCACCTCAAGCAGGGCTGCTTTTGACCCTTCCAGCCCTAGACCATGCATTCTTTGTCCCTATACTGTTCCTTGTTCCAGACCTTGTATTTGGCAATCATCTGCTCAGTGGTCTGATGCCACAGATGATGAATTTGAGGCAAAGGTGAAGTGCTTGGCCAGGGTGGTGATGCCAGCCTCACACTCCTCAGAGCCAGATGTTTCCAGCTTTGCAGTTCCTCAATCCCACAGCAGAATCCACTCCGAACATCATAAGAAAAACACAAGTGTGCCTCAAGAGCACATCAGCTGCATGAAGAGGCAAGTTGTTTTAGAAGTCAGAAGTTCATATTTGAACAATCCTTAGTTGCAACATTTCATCAGTCTTTGAAACTGAGATGTTGATCTTCACCTGTCCTCAGTTCTCACTTTCAGCAACAAAACACCACTTGGCTCCTTTTTTCTGACCAAAGGAAATTTGTGGACTCAATCATAGAATGTTTAGGCTGGAAGAGACTTTAGGTCTCACCTAGTTTCAGTCCCCCTGCCATGGTCAGGGACAGTTTTCACTAGACCAGGTTGGTCAAAGCCCAATCCAACCTGGTCTTGAACACTTCCAGGGAGGGATGGAGCAGCCAAAACCTCTCTGGGCAACCTCTTCCAGTGTATAACCACCCTCACAGTAAAGACTTTCTTTCTAATATCTAATCTAAACCTCTCCTCATTAATTTTTAAGCCATTCCCCCTTGTCCTACCACTATACATCCTTGTAAAATGTCCAGATCTCTTGCAGGCCCCTTTTAGGTACTGCAAGGTGCTAAATGGTATCCTCAGAGCCTTCTTTCCTCCAGGCTGAACAACCCCAACTATCTGAGCCTGTCTTCATAAGAGAGGTGCTCTCAGAGGAGACCTCTGATCATCTTGGTGGTCCTCCTCTGGATTTGGTCTAACAGGTCCACATCTTTCTTGTGTTGAGGGCCCCAGAGCTGGATGCAGCACTGCACGTGGGTCCCACAGCAGAACAGAGCAGAGCTGAGGGGCAGAATTCCCTCCCTCGCTCTGCTGGCCATGCTGCTTTGGATGCAGCCCAGAACATGGCTGGCTTTCTGGGCTGTGAGCGGACATTGCTGGAGCTTCTTGTCCACCAATTCCTTCCTGCACAGCTCAAACCATGGGAATTGGGACTCCTTACCATAGTGCAACCTACAGGAGCCTGCATCCCATCTTAGGTGTCAAAATCTGCTTGTGAAGCTAGGTGCAAAAAACAATGGGATTGGTACCGGAAAAGTCGGCATGCAACTCCTGATTCACTATGGGGTAGGTCCCCAAGTACATTCAGGAGGCTGGACTGAACTATGGATTAACACAGCCCAGGTGGGTCTGTGTAATGAGTACTCTCAGGAGCAGAAAACCACACATACACAGAACATACTGGCACTGGCACACAGGGACCCCAGAGAGTGGAGTTTATCAGGGTTTAGGAAGAGTTTCAACATTCACACATATGGGACCCTAAGAAAAACTGTTCATTTTGCCCATGAGCTAATCCATGAACCATCTGGGTTTGTAAAGCTCAAACTGACTACAAGACCTAGAAATCAGTTTTCCCATTTGACTCAACGCTTAAATAATGACCCAAAAAGGTCAACCTGGGCAGTGCTCAGCACAAGGATAAAATGTGCCTGCGACAGGTGCCTTCCTCAGAGATGGTACAGGAACTAGTCCAGTTGTGCTGATCATTTTGGAAATTTCAAAATATAGAATAGGTTTTATCCTTGTGAGACAGAAAATTTTACTGGAGTTCATCCTACTAAGTTTTGTTGCATTTTTAATTATTACAAAGAATCATCTCACCTCCTGCACCATGATATCACATTCTCCTGTTCTCCAGCACGAGTAGGTGGAGATGTCTGAAGAGATGGCAATGGAGATTCCCTTTCCTGTGCAGGCTGTACCAAAGAGAGCTAGAACAGGTGCCTACCAACATTTTTTACCCAAATGGTTCAGAGTTCTCTCGTCTCTCCTAACTTATTTTCAAACCTATGTCTGCCTGTATTTATGTAAGGTTCTAAAAATAAGTAGCGCCGTTCACATTTTGCATTTGAATTATCTGCTGAATATCTAAAAAAGATAAGCTGGAACGGGAAGCCCCTCTGTGAGCAGAAGTACAACCTAGTTAAAATGAGTGAAATTTATCAGAAAAAATGAGTAATGAGCAGTGAGAAAAACCTGTCTCATTTCGCTAATTTTACTTTATAAATTATCTGATTTGACATTCTGTGCTAAAAATCTGCTTATGAACCAAGAAAAGCTAGGCATGTGCTTCACGTGGTCAAAGCAGAATCTGTGGCTGCATTTGTACTGCAGGATGAAACCCTTGCCACCAAAATGAAGACTCATGGTTGTTTCTAGATCATCGTGTATTTAGAAATAACTGGGTACACCAGGCTTCAGGTGTGAGTCCATGCTGAGCCCCCTGGTTATCTGCAGTCACATCAAAACTGCAGTAATTTCACCACACAGCTGCCATCAAAGCATGGAAGCATGCAGCACAGCTTTTCCTTCCCCTACCTGCACCCTATTTCAGGAATAAAGGAAAAGATAAAATGAATGAAGAGATAATTCTTAATCCTTAACTGGTATTTAATGCATTTTTATGAGTTATAGTGAGACCATCAGCCCATTTTATTTGTGCACTTTTGCCTGGGACTGGCAATGAACTTTTAGTATTAAAAGTTTTTTTCACAAGAAAGAGGTGAAAGGCTGCCAGAATAGGCTATAAAACTAAGCATGTGTTAATAGCATCTGTTACAAATAAAGCTGGATTCCACTTTCCATTGTCTTACTCCTTTTTCCTCAAGTTATTTAAATTTTCCAATTCAAAAGGAATTTGGCTGAAGATTTCCCTTACTTGGTCTTGAGCTCAAGGAAGGCTGCTTGCAGAAGAGATGTACAAAACCTACTACAAATCTTTAAATAGTGGGGTTGGGAGAGGAAAGGAATACAGTAGTCTTCCGGGATGTCCAGACTAGAAGCAATTAGGTACAACAAAGAAGCCCACTCAGTCCCCCTGTTTGCTCCCCAAAAAATCCTGCAGCAGATCTGTCGATGCAGCTGCTCCAAAAGCTGTTCTGTGCAGTGATAAATGCCACAAACTGTGGCATTTAAGTTACTCACCAAGGCACATTGTTTTAAAAGACTTCAAGGTTGCACTGGTGATTCTCCAAAGGAAAGCCCCCTTGGGTTGTCATGTAATACTGAAAGGAATATATAATTTACGTGATAAACACCTTGTTCTGAAATAAATATACCATTTTGGACCCAATCTCTTCGTTAAAGACAAGCTTTTAGATCTCTGCAGCTCAAAACAGCACAAGAGAAATGGAACTGAATTGCACATATCTCCTCTTTAACCCTTGGCAGTACTATATAAAACCAGAACTTAAACAAGTGAAGACAGAAATGGCTATCGTGTTCCCTTATGAAACTGTGTTCCCTGTTACTCCCAGTTTGCTTTTCATTTCATGCCAAAAAACTCAAGTAAGTTAAGCTAAGTCAGTAAACAGCCTGCCAATTGCACGAAGCCAAAATACTCAACACGTAACTCAGCTCGTGCTAAATTACTTTTGCCTACAATTAACCATCAACCTCCCTTTTTTATGGCTCTCTTTAAGAATGTTGAAGGAAGCAAAGTGTCCTGTGTTAGCACTGCAGAAGCATTTCTAGCTATGGCCAAACTCATGTGTGTACGCTTTGTACTAATGTTTGATACAGAAAACTAGGAGAATTGCTAATGAGGCCATGGCAGGTAAATCGGACCATCGCTTTATTGCTATATGGACAGGCTGGAATGTATCTAAGGATGTGTTTATCTTTGAGCAGTAAATACAACAAATTCTCTCCTAAAAAATCTTTTCAAGGAATTTACAAGTTACAATTATTTTTATTTTCAGATGAGTGTAGTCACCCAGAACTCCTCCAGTTACACAGCTAGACCAGAAATGCCGAAGGACCGAAGTGCTAGTTGAAGTCTATCATCATGTTAAACAAATTCCCAAATATTTCACCCTATCGGGAAGGCTGACTAATTCAAATTATATTTGCATCTTACTAGTTAAATAATGCATGTGCTGTGGCTTGTTTTGACTGTAGTCAGAGTCTATTACTAACTCCTGAGTAATGCTAACATTTTAAGTGCTGTACAGGAAGTACAGTTCCCAAGAACCAGAAGCAGATTGCAGATACTAGATATCCTCAGGGGTCTCTCCCTGTATCCCTAGATAAGATGCACCTCCAGAGAGCCAAAGCTTTACATGGTTAAAGATCCAGATGTGAATTCTGAGTCTCAGGCTTCAGCAGGGGCACTGCATTCAATTTTCAGTTTCAGTGTGTTCTGATGAGGTTAAAGATCTTTTCCTTGTAATTTTTATAGATACTATGCAATGATAAGAGCAAAATAGCAGTTATGTTTATAGTGTATAAAACATGCAAACCCCCTCATTTCTAGTGAGTCTAGAAATGTTTGGATACAAAGATCAGTATTTGTATCTATTGATACAATCCATATTTAATATCCTCAGGAAAAACACAGCTAAGAGCATTTTAGCTGGACACATCCAAAGCTGTGGTCTGGAGCTGACAAATGTGGTCTGGCAGTAGGTTTGGAAGTATAAATCCCCTGTGCAGGACTGTCTCTGATGATTATGGTAACCATGGCAAAAGATTCTTGAAGCTTCCTTCTTCATGGGGCCATGTATCTAGGAAACTGCAATCTTCTACTTTCTCTTAGATTAGAAACAGAAAATGCCTATCAGTACCTTCAACATTACAGATGAGTTGGATTGCAATACATTCAATATTAAAAAGGAGTTGAGTTTGTGCATACTTTTAAGATAAATTTCTTAGGGCATTGCTTAGCTAAGTATTCGACTTTTGCACTTTTGTTTTCCTTCTCAGGCTCAGCAGTGAAAGAGCTCCATGAAACTCTTCTATCATGACCTCTTGATATGGCCTTGATATCAACAATCAATTCTTATTTTTTTTTTTCCCCCTGAACATACACAGGCCTATTCCATCTGTATCTCACTACTTACCAATAGAGCAGGGAAACATCCTAGTGCTTCAGAAATGTTTTTTGGTTCTGGATGGCGAAAGTCTGCCGGGGTAGAAAACAAAAACAAATCTCCTCTTCACCATAAAGTACTCTCTCTTCAGGGAGATGCAATAGCTTTGGCAAAGGTTGAGAGACTGGACCTGTTTTACAAGGCCAACAGTCACACGTTATGGAGCAGCCAAAAGCCCCCTGCAAGGCACAACTGCTACTTATTTCCTCCTGTTGCCACACAGTGAAATTAAACTGCTCAGAGTCCTGGGAAGATGCAAGGGGTTTAGCACACAAAATTCAACAGGCCTGATCCTCAGTCATCTCATGCCTATTCTTATCCTTAAAATTCAGCACAGGCATTGAAATCAGCAGGACTGTGGTTCTTTCTGTATTAATAAATCAAGGGGCTTTTTAAAAGCTATAGGAAAATGTTAAAATTGAACAATGTCACACTATGATCACATTTCATAAATGATTTCTAAAGAATGTCAATTAAAAATACATTTTGTGAGTGAGAAGGAACAGGATTTCTTCATTATTTTACACTACTTATTTGAGCTATTCCATTAAGTCAACCCTCAGATATGCAATGACTTTCCCTTATATTTATGTATTTTTTCCATCACTTTACAGAGGGATTAAAATATTTTCTCCTGTCTTATTCCCTAATTACACTGATGCAGCATTTACTTTTTATTTCCTCTTTGCCCACCTCTTGAACTACTCATGACTATTCAAAAAAAATGTCAAAATACAGTAATAGAAGAATGCCTCAACATCTCCAGAGGCTGAATATCTCAACACAGCGCATTATGGCTGAATTTTCCTGTAAGTCTTTACTTTAAGTCAGATATATTTTACAGCCTTATTAATCTCTCTATTTTTTTCACTTATGTAAGAAATAAAGCTCTCAAGGCTGAAATCAGTGACAATTTTTTCCCAGTTTGTATCAATTTTAGATCTTTCTAGAGGTTCAAAGTTCATGTAATAATTAACTTTATTTTCCTTGTACTGTTTTCAGCATTTACCTTGCTTTAAATGTCAGAGCCTTTCACTTCTGTTACTTTGATTTCCTTGCTGCATCTCTTCTCTGCAAGCTGTAACTGATGGTGTGGTCTCCCTGTCTTTTCCCACTTCCAACAACCATTTTTAAACCTAATTGTATCTTCTAACAGTTTTTTATTGCAAAACCCACACTGACCACTTCTTGTTTTTTGTAATGTTCTTTTCAGAGGAACTGCAGCCTGCTGTACATTGGCTATGAAGCCTCAGCAGTCCCAACATCCCTTCCATACAAAGGGATTCCAATACCTCCTGTTGCAGCATGATGCTCACTGAGTTCCTTAATCCACAAAGGATTTATTCAAATGCAGTGCTTTGACTTGACTGTGAACATTTACTCATATCAGATGGGATTCAAGGAATTTTTTGATTGATTCCACATTTTTCTTGTTGCTGTCAATGTGATGTTCTGAAGTGTAAGTTACTTCAGAAAAGCAACTACACGAAAGTCTGACTTTAGGTTTTTAAGACAAGCAACAAGCTGCTGTAGTAAAAGATCAGTACGAGAATGATCTTACAATAAAAAGATGTCTAAATGCATGTTCAGACAGTACAGACAACAGAATAGGTTTTCAATACTTAGAACATGTCCGACACAAACACAGAAATTGCAAACTAGCAAAATTCAAAGAAATAATATTTCTTGGAAAGTGAGGAATTCAAGAAGATATTTTGACCATATTTCTTAATATTTTATTATTTTGAAGTGAAATCTTTCACAGAACTGGATGACTATTTCAGTTAATATCAGCAGTTGAGACTATGGCCACCACAGAATGGACACTTAACAAAACAACATTGCTCCAGATACCTAATGATGATAACATATATTTGATGTCTCACACTTCCATTCAACATGCTGCTACTACTCACACAAAACTTTTTAACAAGTAACTACATATGCATCAAACTTTCTACAAAATTACATATTATAGGAATTGTATGCTGCATTTTTAAAGCACATAATTGAGCTGGCATAATAAATGAAGTGACATTAAGAAACTGTTTGAAAACTATGCAGTATTCCTGAAATGATTTACTCAAAATGACTGTAATTACAGAAAGAATATTATTACTGCATTATTTAATTCCAAGCATGATATCAGTTATAAAATTAAACCCATTTGTTACCCCAAAAACAACTGCCACAAACCTGTTCTCTCCTGAATCCCTATTTCCACCCTATAAATCCAATAACTAGTAGTGAAAAGAGGTAAAGAGGACTGACTAACAAGAGGAAAACAATGGTAGTAAGCCTGTAAGAGCAAGGAAAGACAAGAAGAGTAAGAAGGAAGAAGCAAAACAAATGATGTATTGTGCTCCTCCTTATTATGTGAGAAGCTATTATTCAACCCTTAACACCAAAGAATATTTTACCTCGACGTTTTTTCTACTAATCTTAAAACTCTGAGTGCTTTTCTGTTAATTGCCAATGAAAGCAGATTTCAGATGTGAAGGCTACTATCAATACTCAAATAGAAGGGAGAAACACGAGAGACAGCAACATGTTTAATTAAAAATAAATAAGAAAATAATCCCCCCCCAAGAAATCAGACTTCCAAACTGTAGATGAGAAAAAAAGAAGTAACCATTTTTAAATGCAAAAGAAGCAATGTACTTAATATGGTATCTGGATATTTATTAGTCAGCTCTAGGGGGGGAATGCTTAATACATACTTTTCGATAGTTTATAGAATTTGTGTCTTCCAGTCAATTCAGTATCACTCTACACCTAGAGATTAAGATTGATATACTGAACAACGTGACTAATACTCAAATCTAAGCTGACATTTGCTAAAAATACATTTCAATGTATTTTTAACAAGTGAAACTGAGACTGCAGAACAATTATGGATATTTCTTCATGAACAAGTGTATGTAAACAATATTGACTTAATTCCCTCCACAGAGAATTTTAATACAGCAGACAGAAAACCATTTTATCAAAGTATGTAGGAACACAAGTTTTACTCAGCAGGATACCCCACAACATTACTGAGAAAGTTGTATCTCAATTTATTTTCCAGTGGAATTCTTTTTCGTTTTTTAGGTTTTCAAAGGAAATGAAGTAGTTCAGAAAATATACACGATGTTTAAGCATATTTGTCTGCATTGTGTTGTTGTCTATGTTTTCATCATGGCTGATGAAGAAGCTTGGAAACAGGTCAGCTGCAAGTGCATGCTGCTTTTGAATTTGTTTAGCAGCTCTTCTAGTAACCTGCAAAGGGAAAATATTTACAACTTTAGAAGATTCTGAAAAGGGAACAACTACTGCAAGTTTTGATTATTCCATCTGTGACTTCAGGTACACTGTCTGCTTTCCTTGTGTAGCTGAATTGGAAATTTCGGTTCTCGGCCTTGTCTTTGGAAGGTATTTCTATATTTCTCTTAAGTATTACAACTGAAAGATCAGAGATATTATGACTGTTCTAGAAGAAACATTAATTCACTCCAATCATGTTGTTTTGTCCCTAAGATAAATTGTGTATGAGTTCATTTGGGGGCATAACGATAGCTAATGCATCTACCCAGCTGTCAAGAAAGTACCTGGTGCAGTGGATAGTACTTATTATAATCCACAAACTACAAATGTAGGAGCAATGGTGTTGATGTGCCTGTTGTAGAAAATATTGACTGTAACACTGGACATGCATTAAGATGTTTTACAGTCTTGGCTGGGTGTTTTATTTTCTCCTTAATCTAGGGAATAATGTGATTTTGGAACTTTCTGCCCTATTTCAAAAGCAAGCCATATAGGGCAGACATGTATCACCTGAACTTTTTGGCATGCTGCATTATTGAACAGCCAATAACAGAAAAAAACCCCCACTTTTTAACACTGTGTGCTAAAAAAACCCAAACTAGCCCAAGAATAGCAATTTAAACCAAAAAAAATCAATATCTGCTTCCTCAGCGGGTCCTCTGGAAAAAAATCATGTCCACATTAATCATTTAGCATCATAGTAGTCATTGTGAATGAACACACACAAGCAGCTCTCAGTCAGAGCACAAATGTGTTATTTTACACAAATACATGTAGATCACAATGAACTGCCCGGAACAATGACAAGTGCCATGTAGTGACCTGGGAAACAGAACAAGTTCTGCACTGTCTGGGGCTTAAAACACTGAGGCAGATGTAATAATGATGCAGTTCTTGATTTTCGTTTGTCTCATGAAGCTCAGATGCTTGTGACTAAGTAAAAAAAAATAATTCTACAGGTGTTTTGGAAAATTTGAGTTAAAAGATCTCTCCTTACACAAAACTGATTTTTAACTTAAATAAAGCCTAAGAGCTAAGTAAGATGAAGAGGTATCTTGAGATTTGCTGTGGCTAGAGAAGAGCAGGTTTGACTACATAGACAGAGGCTATCTGGAAGAAGGCACAGACCACAGACCATGAGCTGTATAGTCTCTTCATGTGTCTATAAAATATTCTAAATTCTCACTGCTAAGCGCAAACTAATTTGATGCAGGAAAGTACAATGAAACCAATCTCTAGTTTAAACCATCTATACTAACACTACTCTACTTATTACAAATCTGACCTAGTTTTACTCTTTATTATGCTGTGGTTGTAAAATAGACTACCAAATACCAGGCTGAACACAGCAAAGCAACCTGTTCGTCAAAGGTCATCGTGGTGGAAAAGGAAGAACCCAAAATTCCTCCTTCTGATGTTAAGAAAGAGCCACAGACCCTCCTAATTTGTTTTTGAAAGGAAATATGCCAGTTTTATGAGTTCCCCATACATCAGCTTGCAAAAGCCCGAACTTTGTTCTTGGACATTTTTTAAATTGCTACTAACTTCAGTAAAACAAAACA